TTTTCTCCGAACTATAGTTTATAGAAAGTTTTGTCCTTTTATAGAAGGTTAGTTCACAGTTTTATTGAGCTAGAATGCTTCGTGCATGATGTCTTTTCTTGCGTTTATGTAACAGAACTTTTAATAAGATCTGGGACTAAGGGTATATTTCCTATTCTGGACGAATAATATTGGAGCTGATTTGCTTCAGGGTTTGAAGTAATGTTTGTTCAGTTTCCACAAAGTTGTGCACCTCTGTATTTGTCAATAACAGCAATCCTCTGATTCATGTTCTTTTTTTGAGTGTGCAAACAATTCAAGGTTTTTAGATTTGCTTATGGCAAATTCATTGTGTTACCTACAGGTCCAGTAATTCACCATAGTTCACATTTAGGTGACTTTGCGTCACGTTTCAATTATTAAATGTTTGAAGACAAATCTGTCAGCTCTGATCTGAGTTATAATATTTGCAGTGAATATATAACATTTTTATTTTTTACTGACCCTGGCAGAGAGGCCATAATTTAGAGTTCGTTGGAAGATTTTGGGAGCTCCAATAAATGCAGGTACCAGTAAAGAAATTAGCATTTCAAAGCTTTAAAGCATTTTCTGGACTTCAAATGTAATGACTTTGGCCACAGTAATAAATCNATCCACATGAATCAAATTCTCAAAGTGTCTTGGAGGACATACCTGTATTACCTTATTACTTTTACTCAGTTAAGTCCCTATCACACTAGCCAACTTATGCCAACTTATGTAACATTTTTATGTCTAAATTGCTAATAAAAGTTATATATTTGATCAGTTTGTTTGAATTACATTATGTACACGCTGAAAAGAAGCTTCCTGTTGATTTTTTCAATTCCATCTTCAATGTAGATGTCTTTAAAATGTTCATAAGTTGACATAAGTTGTCTAGTGTGACGGCCTTAAATAAAAGTAAGTAAAAAAGGTCTACTGTGATGGACTTGCAACCTGTCCAGGGTGTACCCTGCCCCTCACACAGTGACAACTGGATATGGGCACCACGGACCCTGAAAGAAAGAAAGAAGCAGGTAAAAGATAATGGATAGATGGTTGGAAAAGACCTACGTCTAATTAAGTTTTGGTGTTTTTTCGATTGATGATGGTTGACCCAAAAATAAATGCTAAATGTAAGGAATAAGATGAGACTTTGTTCACCTTCGAAAAACTTATAATAATRTGAACTTTTCTAATCATGTTTTTCTCCAAAGTATCCCAAAACCAGTTAATATCATTTCTTTAAAGAATGGTATRCCTTTAAGTATTGTTTCATTTGCTGTTGAAGTATTTTGTTACACAGAAACTGTTTCAGGCTTTGCCTTGTCTTTGCTTTGCTGTCATGGTTTTTATTATTTTATCTCCTTTTTCAAAACCAAATGAACTGTGAATGAATGTAGTTCTAATGAGTCATTCTTCTACATGTGGCAGGGGATTGTTCTCATTGTGAGTGGATAATCATAACACTCTGTAATTTCTTTAATGACAAAATCATGGTTGTAACTTAAGCTTTCTGCACTTGAGGGAAAAAAGGTACTATCACATAATTTAAATCATCCAAAACACAATCTGAAGGAATGATCCATGTAATCCGGTGAGTTACTGAAGGTAATGAGTTTGCAGCTATTCTTAAYATCCTCAAGGAACCTTTGAGTTTCAGCCCAAACTTTGATCCAAACTATAGTTTATAGAAAGTTTTGTCCTTTTATAGAAGGTTAGTTCACAGTTTTATTGAGCTAGAATGCTTCGTGCATGATGTCTTTWCTTGCGTTTATGTAACAGAACTTTTAATAAGATCTGGGACTAAGGGTATATTTCCTATTCTGGACRAATAATATTGGAGCTGATTTGCTTCAGGGTTTGAAGTAATGTTTGTTCAGTTTCCACAAAGTTGTGCACCTCTGTATTTGTCAATWACAGCAATCCTCTGATTCATGTTTTTATTTTTATTTTTTTGGGTGTGCTAACAATTCAAGGTTTTTAGATTTGCTTATGGCAAATTCATTGTTACCTACAGGTCCAGTAATTCACCATAGTTCACATTTAGGTGACTTTGCGTCACGTTTCAATTATTAAATGTTTGAAGACAAATCTGTCAGCTGTGATCTGAGTTCTAATGTCAGCAGTGAATATATAACATTTTTATTTTTTACTGACCCTGGCAGMGAGGCCATAATTTAGAGTTCGTTGGAAGATTTTGGGAGCTCCAATAAATGCAGGTACCAGTAAAGAAATTAGCATTTCAAAGCTTTAAAGCATTTTCTGGACTTCAAATGTAATGACTTTGGCCACAGTAATAAATYAAACAAGATTCGTAGTGTTTCCATGATATCAAAGCTTTCCAGCAAATACAGTACAACATATTTGTACATAAATACATAACAACATAAAATCTGTTTCAGATCTTTTTAGACCAAAGTCTTTTAAAGATGCTCTTGGAATAACTGAGCTACAGCAAAATCCCCACACAAGCCCCCCACACACACACACACACACACACACCACCTAATGACTGGTGTCAGAAGATTCTTCCTGAGAATATCACTCTTTGACAGGATTTATAAAATAAAAGCTTTAAAATCATAATTGAACACTGATTGTCCTCTTTGTTGCCACCTTCTAATCTCTGAACACAATGCGTGTTGATTATGAGTACATAATTGTTCTATCAATTAAAAAGTGCACACGTTTTGTCTTAAAGAAAGAGAAGAGACGTGAGATCACGCTGTTACACAGACATTTGTTTGTTCTTCATCACATCAGTGCCAGGCTGAATTATCCGGAGGAACACTCTGTCCCGCCGTGAGAAGTGCTTCTGCTGCCTTTATTGTCTGGTTGGAGTCTCATTGATAACATTTTCCAAAGAAAGCGAACCTCCATGGATTGTGTCCTTTCATTCCTCCTTTTTATATCAAAACTTTTGTGTAAGTTAGATTTTACAGCAACACCACCCCCACAGCTGCATGCCACAATCAGTCGGCACTTCTTTGTTGAGGATTAAGACGAACAAACGAACTATTATAACAACTAATGACCTTCCGTGCAAAACGTCCTCCTCATATGTAAAACRGCCTGTGTCAAAGCAGAACACAGTCTCCATCAATGTGATTTTATCAATGACAAACTCGGCTTTGTGAAATATTGAAAAGTTCCTTTATTTAATATTCACATTGATATTCTAGCATGACCTTATGAATTAAACACTTGGTAAAAAGTAATAAGCTGACACAGCATGAATGCGTTTCTGGTTTCTACTTTGAAACTATTGAGATCAAAGCAGGCGGGTTCATAATGAGACCAGCAGATTTTAAACTGGCCCAATGCTGCTGCCTGTGGAGACATTATTGTTTTATATTTAAACATATTAGTGTTTTTGTTTTATGCTTGAGTGCAATAATGTTACACAAGAAACATGAACTTATCAATAATTCAGTGCTTAATATAAGAACACCATGAGCAAAATTCAACTTGAAGGGCCAGACGCTGCCCTTGGATCTTTTTTCTTCAGCATTCAGTGTGCTCCGATAATACCTGACTTCTTGGTGAACATGGAAATCGATGGAAGTCTCAACACTGAAGTTTACACGAAACCTACTCACACGGACCAATACCTGACTTTGACTCTCACCGCCCACTGGAACACAAACTGTCATCAGAACTTTACACCATCGAGCCGAACATGTCCTCATGAAGACAGAAGGGAAGGAAAAAGGAACAATAACTTGTGAAAAGCACGTCAAAAATGCTCTCCAAACCTGTCGA